TTATAAAAAAACAATTCTATTTTTTTAAATCTCAATATTCGTCCTAATTTAATTTCAATTCTTAAATTGATTTCGCTCTGGAATCGAATTTCGAGGTTCAATCCGTGAATTGTCCCGATTGCAAAGGCCATTGCCGCGTCGCGTGAGTCACATGGTTTATTTCGAACAATCAGATTTTTGCCGCGACCGAGATATTTCAAAGATATATATTAACGCAACAGAGATAGAGAGAGAGAGCAGCGGGGACGTATGTATCTCCACACCGGGCGTGTAATCTAGATGGTCCGCTAAAAATACTCGCGGTGGCGCGGTTAAGCCGGGGCGTAAGTCCAAAGACTGAAACGAGTGATCGCGGTGTGAATTTTCGTTTCTGCGGCCGCAACTACGACCGCGTTAGGCGAGATATCCAGGTGTGCGTCACCGCGACGCGATATACGCGTTGAACCACGGCCGAAGGAATTGAATAACGAGACGACGACGTCTGCCAGTTAGTCTGGCGGACACGTGGATCTAGCTCAATGACAGTTGATAGCATTGGGTGCCCCGTCACCTGTTGTTTCATTGTTCCCTGCCAGCGAGCCGATGGGATGCATCACAGCTAAGAATGTTCAAGGCTTGGCTATGATTAAATCCCGGTTCACTGGTCCTTTCGAGTCTCTCAACTTCGGGCAGAACGAATCGACCAGTAAAAAAAAAAAAATGTTTAATTGAAATAAGTTGTAATTAGAAAATTCGTGAATTTTGTGAACTTTGCCCTCGGTTTTAAAACTTGTCAGGGAACGATCCTGCTAAGTACGAACGTTTCTTTGAACTCGTGGCGGTTTCGCGTGACTCGTTAAGGGGTGGGCGCACGAAACTTTCGCGCGTCGGCCTTCAATGTTGAAACTTTAACTATCAGCCGAAGACAGACCGACACATCGTTGCGGTGAAGCTTCTAGAACGGAAAATATCAAATACGCCAAAAGTTTCTTCTAAAGCTGCTCGAGAAAGGCTCTTTAGAAATCAATAACGGTTGTCAAACTATTTTTATTCGTCACGTCATTTCTATGTGCTAGTTTATAATGATTCAGAATGATTTTTAAAAAAATTCTGGGTCATTTTCATCAGATTCTTCTTG